TGGTTTGGGGGTTGGTTTGGTGGGTATTTTTGTCGTGGAGGTTATCTGAGGTCTGTGGATAAAGTCTCCTCCTGCAGTGGGTGTGCGGGACCCACGAGGCACGCTGGAGTAGTGGGCCATGAATCCATCTGAGGTCACGCTGAGGTCAGACACAAACTGGAGAAGCAGCTCGTTCCCATTTGTCACTATAGTGCTATGAAAGGAACAGGGAAAGTAGAAAGAAAGGATAAAGCGACAGACACGTGGAAGAAACGGGACGTGACAGTATAAACACGTCAGCAAAGCTCTGCTGTAAGGTATGTATACATGTATTTAGCTTAATTCAAAGTAGCTTATATCTGAACAGTATCTCACCCTGGTGGCTTGTCTCCGCAGAATTTCCCTATCCTCCTCGAGTCATCCGTTTCTCCCCCATTAAATAAGGCCACATAGTCATAACGACAATACATGTCAGGCTCCAGATCCAGTTTCTCAAACTGTACCTCAATCACCTGGAAAATAGGTGGAAACAGAAAGCTATGAAAGTCTTGGCAGGGCATGGCGCTAGCACATGTTTACTTCTGACTAATTTTCATGAGCCGTGTACAGTGCAGCCATCAGGAGGTGGTGGTGGAGTTCTGAAACACAGAGGTGCATTTACTCCCTCTCTTGCCCTTGCTTCCTTCCCTCCTTCTTTTAGTTCAATCTCTTGGCACACATTATCACGCCTGCAGGGACTCAAAGAGGTCTTTCATTTTAACTTCGGCACAAGGCCGCTGTCACACTCACACACGATAACTGCATTAAGTATCCTACAAGGAAAGTACATTTCCTTGTGATGGGCCCCTTTACTGCCATTTATTTCCAACACAAGGCATTTAACATACTCAACTGCACATGCAGTCAATTGAAATTTGATTTTGACTAATATTTGGTGCACGTAAATTATAGAAATACAAATTAAAATGATACCTCAGCACCCGTGCATATTTTCTAATTGTATATTTCACAAAGATTTAAGCCCAGTTCTTGTTAACAATCATGTGCAAATTTTTTTGTTTTGAGGTTATTGCATTCCTGGTGCATTGTCAGCTTCACTGGTTATGTAGATTAGATCCACAAGAATCTATTTGTTCTTTGATTGGAAATATTGGCTATATTATTCGTTTTTATAGAGTTAACTATAAAAGTATTTTAAAGTGTTGAAGATACAGAAAACACCTTTGGATTTTATTATTAAACTGACTGAAGCACCCACTGAGAAACTAGAGTATTTATAAATCATTCAATCTAAACTATTTGACTGGGCACTTTCCTGCGTGAGTAGGTAATACATGTTTGGTGTTTGCTAACAATTAGGTGCTTTTAGCTCCCAGGTACAACATTTTAACCCTTGGAAAATAAACCCTATAAGGTGGATTAATTACTCTCTTTTTTTACGCTAGTTGGAAGGCTATGTACAGCGTATATTCCTTAGCATTTGTTCCTCAGTGCAACATCATGCTGTCAAATTTTTCCACCGGGAAAATTTATGCTAGCTAGCCTAGCTAGTGAACCAGTCCTACATGTGTCCTTATTTCCGCTGGATGTTACTTTCCACTTATGTCACTTCGTTTTCTAATTTGTGTTCTTGTCAATAACTATCTGTAGACAGCCTAATTTGTGGTATTTAACTTACAAGTTCGGAATAGCCACAAAAATCAACATATTTTACAGTCTTTTCAAATGCATATGAATGTGAAGAATGCCACTTTTAGGCATGGCTGTAGAAAATGTCAGAATTCAAATTAATATGTTAATTTGGGTGACATAACCAAAAGAGATATGTGGGCCATGTGGGGAACAGTAGATATCTGACTCTTTTTTTTTTTCAACATGTTGATGCTTCATTCTAGATATATGTACAGCGGGTAAAATAAGTATTGAACACATCAGCAGTTTTCTAAGTAAATATTATTCTAAAGGTGCTATTGACATGAAATTGACCCGATGTCGGTAACAACCTATCAAATCCACACATGCAAAGAAATCAAGCCATAGTCCATGAATTAAGTTATGTGTAATAATGACAAAGAGAAAAAGTATTGAATGCATGAAGAAAAGGAGGTACAAAAAGTAAAGACACCAGCTGAAATCTTCAGTAATCAGAAAGCAATCCTTCCACTTATTGCAAATTAATATCAGGTGGTTCAGTCCCAATAAAAAGGTGTCTCATTACCAAGGTGTCAACAAGAAACATCTAATGAAGGGTAAAATCAATGAGCTTTCTTAAGACCGTCGCAGCCTTATTATGCAAAACATACCGATGGCATTGGTTACAGAAGAATTTCTAAACTACTGAAGGTTCCAGTGAAGTTTGGAGGTGGCAACATCCTGATGTAGGGCTGTTTTTCAGCATATGGCGCGGGCACCCTTCACATACCTGATAAAAATCTAACATGATGATGAAGACGACACGAGGGTTTGACATCTCAGCAAGACGATGAGCCCAACACATCCAAGGAAACTCAGCTGGTTTCACAGATTAAAATAAAGCTGGTAGAATGACCCAGCCAACCACCTGACCTGAATCTAACTGAAAATCTATGGAAAGCTCTGATGTTCAGAGTTCATAAAGGTGTCTTCAGGATTTGAAGACTGTTGGTGTGGAAAAATGAGCCAAAATCATGCCTGAGCAATGCATGCGACTATAGTTTCTCCATAAAGGAGGCGTCTTGAAGGTTTCATCAAAGGCTTTTGTATGAAGCATTAAATACATTTCAGTAAGCGTTTTTGATATTTTTTTCTGTGTCATTTCTCATTATTACACATAACTTAATATTTGGATATCTGCGGTTTAATTTCTTTGCGTGTGTCAATAGCACCTTTAAAAATATATTTACCTAGAAAACTGGTGACGCGTTCAATTACTGCTATCTAATTTTAAATTTAAGAATAATGGCAAATTACAGTATAAATAACGGTTAAAAAAAATACGGTAAAATGGTAAAAATATTCACTTAAACATGTCACAATAATTTGACAGATAAACTAATATTAAGGCACTGATATGCTATAAATAAATAAAATGATAAATTCAGCTTTCTTTAATATAAGCGAGCAGGTCTTTAATGCTACGCGATCATTAGGAATCTAATAATAATAACAGAAATTCTGATGTGAACCGCTCTCAATCTGTATGAAGTGTAGTGTGATCAGCTTACATTGCTCGGCTCTACGGAGATGTGCCACGAGCAGCTGATGCCTGCTGGGTAATTGGAGTTGGGCCAGTTGGGCGTCTTTACGGAGCCCTGTGATTTGGTCAGTCGTCCTCCACAGAACTGGTTCTCTGTGGAAATATGAAAAAGAAGATGGAGTTAAAAATAAGAGTGTGCTACAATATGTTAAGGTGAGACAAAAGCCAGGTGATACAATAAAAGCATGAGGCTGCCCTGTGTTTGCAGGAGAATAACAAAACTGCGTCCTGGAGCCCCAGTAAAATATTTGCAGGATTACTTGTCCTCACCTTCCATATGTGGCTTCCCTGCATTGAAAGAAGCCAGAAATCCTCTTCCACCAGTGGCTTCATCCGTCACCATCTCCAGCATCATGGTGTTGGAGGTGGAGATGAGGGCACCGGGCCTGAAGGTCCCGCAGAATCGACCTAACTTCTGCACTAGGCGAGAGTGACCGTTGTAGACGTCCAGGTAGTCATAGCGGCAGATGGGGTCAGCCTCTAAGTCAAAGAGGCGGAAAGACAGCATGACCACATGATCCTCGGGGACCTGGAGGGGACAACAGACTCAGTATGACCCACACACAGGAACAACCTGGTTTTTTGTTATGTAAGGCAGATTATTTCTTCAACATTGATACTGCTTGTGTTACTCTGAAAACAGCAAGAAAATGCTGAAAGTGAAGCATATCAATAATGAGTAAAAACTACAGATGTGTTTTTGAAGGAAATAGATCCAGAAGAAAATAGATTACCAAAATAAAATAACCAGATTTGAAAATGTCCTTTCATTGAAAATGATCATCTATGCAACTGTTATTCACAACCCCGAGCTCGTATTTGTATTATTTTGACTCTGACTTGTTTTATTTTGTTTCATGTGGTTTGATGTTATATCTGAATTTGTAACATTGTAATAATGTGGCCTGTTGGCCAAATCTGAAAAGTAGATGTTATCCTCGAGGGACCTGCCGATTAAATAAAAATAAATAATATATTTCACAGTTAAAATGACAAAAAAAAAAAAAGGAATAGCATAGGTGTTACTTGAATTATCAACACAAAAGGAAACACTGCAGTGTTTGTTTTTTCTGCTCCCCAAAAAGTCCCATTTCACTATTTCCTGTTTCCTCCCCTCACCCCCAACCAGTCACAGCAGATGGCTGCTCCTCCTTGAGCCTTGTCCTGCCGGAGGTTTTTTTCCTGTTTAAAGGGAGTTTTTCCTTCCCACTGTTGCCAAATGCTTGCTCATAGGGCAGTGGTGTCGAACTGCAGGTTTTAGATAACACCCAGGGTCAACACACCTGAATCAAATGATTAGTTCATTACCAGACATCTGGACAACTTCAAGACATGTTGAGGAGGTAATTTAGTCATTTAAATCAGCTGTGTTGAATCAAGGGCACATCTAAAACCTGCAGGACACCTGCCCCAAGGCCTGGAAATCAACACTGCTGTCATAGGGGGTCGTCTGATCGTTGGGGTTTTCTCCGTGCTGCTTTACTTTACTACAGAAAGCTCCTTGAGCCTTGGAGCCATTTAAATAAAACTGAATTGAATTGCAGTAAATGGAATGGAGTTCTTGAAACATGTTTATTTACATGTGGATGAACCAATAGTTGTCAGGACTCACAGAGGAACTGTAAATTAATGTTTTGCTTCTTGTTTCTGTGCTGTTGAAGCACTTTCTAACAGTCTGGCTCCCCCTGTAGCTATGAGGAGATGGTACGGTCCAGTTTGGGCCAAGCTGGTTTATAGTAGGATGATGAAGGCAACTTAATATGAGCCTGTTGTTGGTGGTTTGATCATTTTTGGGGCGGCTGTGGCTCAGGAGGCAGCACAGATTGTATACTGATCTGAGAGCACTGTAGTCAACCTGACCTTGGTTTCATTAAATGTTTTTCTATTTTTTTCTAAATCACATTTTCTTTAGTTTTCTAGTGCCACACAGCAATCACATCCTTTTGGCACTACAATGATTTGGCTTCAGTTCAAAACATTTAGTCATCTACATAGGTGCTACCACTGTTTCGCTATCCCCGTGTCCCAGACTGAAACATCACAGCTGCTTTCAGTGACTCACAGTGATGTACCAGGTGCATTTGCTGTTGGGTTTGTACAAGCTGGGAAAACCTTCACTGGCCACGATGCCGGAGTCTATGACCAGGTGGCCTCCACAGTGGAAGACTGGCCTGAAAGAGAAAGAGAAAAAGAAATCCTGCCCTTCACTTCATGCGCCGTGGGCTTCAGGAAATGCTGCTTTTGCTTATGCAGCTATACTGAAGAGCATTGAGGCAAAAACCTGCACACACACACACACGTTTAGATGTGAAAAACACAGTCTTTCTCTGTTCTCCAAGGCTGGGAAAGTTCCCAGTAAACTCTCATGGTATGTTTTTTTTTTTCATAGAAGTTGGCCAAACCAAGCCAGGACTGTTAATACACAGTATATGTGTTATCGCCACACTCTGACTGCACCGCAAGAAAACTGTACGCGTTCGCTTTGCAAACGCCGCCGCACAGCAGCCCAATCACACACGGTTTGGTGGCACACACACCCACTCTTTCGCACTCGGATAAACACACATCAAAGCAGCGCCAGCTTCAACTTTTAATTTTGCCGTGCGGGCCAGGCCCAGACTCGTTAATTTAGATGTTGGCTGATCTGGCATCTGGTTTTCCTCCAGAAACTCTGCAGCTGGAAATTAGGTTTAAATTTTACTCCGTAGCAGCCAGTGAGGCAAAATTTACAATCCCTTACATTACAGAGCTGTTTTTCTGTCTCTCAAGTTCTCCAGGCATGCATGGTGTGTCTCTTGTGGTACTCTAAGGCCACACTTGGCCAAAATATTCCAGTTTTGGAGTCCCCTCCCTTCTGACCCTCAGGAGCTTAGCAGGCCACAGGCATTTGTTTGTCTCTCATGTTCAATTTACACCTTGTTTGTGTGGAACTCTGCACAAACAAAGAATTTCAGGAAGATTTACTTCTCAGCTGCAACAAGAAAAACAAACTATATGACACGAGAGCACTGCTGTTGGTACATCTACCCAGATTTAATCACAATAAATTACAGCACGCTGTCATTATGTGTCCGCCTGCCTGTCTGTGTGTTTATGGGATGCCGACCACATCTTTCTAACGCTACACCCTTCTATTTCTACCGAGCTTTCGGTAATCACAATACTGCGACCAGGAGAGGAAACAGTCTCACACATGCACAGTAGTTAATCCAGACTGATGTGGGCTTGAAAATTGCTTGCCACATGTGCACATACTGAAAAGATAATTGGTTCACAAAGGGCACATTGACAGCTCATACATACAGAATAACTTTGCTGCGCACACCTTACCTTGCGTTAGTGTCATTAGTCTGAGCATCAGTCCATCCCAAGGACAAAATGACAAGAAGGCACATGGGGGTCCACACCCTGTCCTCCATCCTGCTGTCCTCCCGGATTGGGAAAGACGAGAGTGCAGAAGGGAAAGAAGGAGGGAGAAGCAGCGCAGAGGCGTGGAGAGGGGTAAGGTTTTGGGAAGGGGAGGGGAGGCAGGGAGAGGAGAGGAAGTGATGGTTGGATGGTGGGGTGTTACGGAGGGAAGGCGAAGAAAGGCAAGGGTGCGTGAATGAAGTTGGTTAATGCAGGTGACTAGCAGTAAAAAGTGTTGTTTACACTGATTCACAGCCAGAGTGGATCTGTACAGTGTGTTTGTGTTGCTCATTAACAGGTAGACTAATGAAGTATATGCAGAAGGTACGTTTCTGTAGGCGTGTGCTTACAGAGGGCCTGTGTTGCAGCCTGTATAATGACCACTTCACAGCGCTGCCGGCTACAAGCAGTGCTTTTGTTCGCCATCTTCATCTGGAACCATCAGGTTTACATGTTGGACTTTTAGTCAAGAATTCAGCTCGACCGAAATGCTGCGGTGGGACTTTAAAACAACTGTGAATAAACCTCAATGGGCTGTAAAGGATTCCCAAAATTCCTCCATAACCATGTGAGAGACTGATAAAGAAATGAAAAGTTAGTTGTACAAGCTCGTGAAATGCGGACTAGCAAAGGACCGTGATGTTTGCAGATGACTCTGTGATCTGTAGCAAGAGTGGAAAGCAGGTGGAGGACAACCTGGAGAGATGGAGGTGTGCACTGGAGAAGCAAGGCAGATTACATGTGTGTGAATGAGAGGGAGACAGGTGGAAAGGTGAACATGCAAGTAATAGATGTAGTATGTAGGATGTATTGCAGTGTTTAAATCTCAATATAATGGTAGTCCCTCTTTTGGCTCACACATTAGCATGCAAATTTAGCATTTACTTCTGTACTGCTGCGATCTCACAGCTGCCAGCGTGGATCCTGACTGCTGTTTTTAAAGATCATGGGCACACAAGCACAATTTAGGTGACGGTTCATTAAAAAGATTAAATTCTTTCCCCAGAATTAACCTCGCCTCACAAAACGATCCAGTGTAAGCACAGGAAAGCTTAAAAAACTGCAGGAACCAGAATAAAAAAATCATACAGGGCTCGTAAAAGCAATAATTAAAAACGTGAATTATGCTGAACTCTACAGTAAAATGTTTTATTACAACAGTAAGACTCATTTTTATTGTTGCATAATAAAAGATGGAGCATCTTCAGCTGTGTTATTAATACCAGCCGGTCTGCCAGCAGACCCACGCACATTACAATCATTGCTGCCATTGTTATAATCATAATATGCACCGAAGTCAGCTTCACCACTTTGAGCCTGTCTGAACGAGGACGTGCCTTTTGTCTTTTTTAAGCTGCGGTGACCACTTTGGGTAGAAACCACAGCAGAACAGCAGGAGACTGCGGTCGGGTAAGAAAGCAGCTGCCCCGATCCGCTCTCTGCTTCCAGCTCGCTCTGGACGCTTCTGTGTATCCACGCCAACTGACAACAAAAATAGACTGCAAAGAGATGTAATCATGAGGTGGAAAAGAAGAAAAATCTGACTTCGCATTTAAACCCATTTAAAGTCATTTTATTGTCTTTTTTTGTACAAAGAACTTCAAAAATATTAAACTGTCGCAGACACCACTGACGCCATGAAGCAAAGGATATCACATGACCAGAACAGTGCCACAGAGAAGAGACAGGGAAAAGGGACAGAGTGGAATAGAGAAGATAGTAAATCACTCTTCGAACTCTTCGGAGGACTTTTTAAGAGTTACATCCACCTTTTTCCAAATCTTCTCACCACCACGAGCAACACAGAAGCGCTGCAGGGTCCGTAGGGGCGTTGATAATTTGGGAAACGCTGTCTGTAGTGTTTGTTCACTGTTGTCGTGCTCAAACTAATGCCTGGCAGATGAGAAGCCTTTTAAAAGGTGTGGGTCAGACTCCCGCTGATTTCCACGCTCGTCCACAAGTAAAGCAACTCGACTGCCGAGTCACAAACACTGTCTCCATTTCCAAAAAGTGCGATCTATCGTATAACAAATAGCTTTTTAAACACATTTTTTGTTGTTGTTTTTTTTTTTACAGTACACACCCTCTTTTGGGTGTTCTCCATCTGCAGTGCATCAAATTATAAAAATATACACAATGCTTACAAAATTACTTGGTTCTCACTGTACATTTACTCTATCAGGTGAAAGTAGTTTAATTATTTGGGGTCACAATTCATACAAAAGAAGAAAAGAAGAAAAAGTGAGGATTGAGACCAGAACAGGATCCCAGAAACATTCAGAAAAGTCAGAGTCCCTTCTTTTGTCACAGGCTGAACTCTGGACAGGAGAGATGAAAACACGAGTGAAGCACATCCATCTTTATGTAAAGGCGCACTTTTTAACCTTAGTCTCCTTTGATTATTTTACAACTTAAATAAATATACCATGAACTACAAGGACAATTAAAATAAAATAAAAAAAAAATAGACAAAAAGAAAGAAAACAGGACAAATTCACTCTCTAAAACTGAGTGTGCGTGTCCGGTGGTGTCCAAGGCATTTAATTATCAGTTCCAGTGGGTGCCTGGACCGCTGACATCGAAATCAGACTCAAAGAATCAACGTGTCCCGCCTGACCTGCTGTCCGACAATAAACGGCAGTCGTGTGCATCAGTACGCACCTCAGCATCCCAGCGCAAGCTCATTGGATTACAGCCTCTGTAATGATGCTTTGAGCACAGGAAGTCCTGGATGGCGCATATTGTCTCATGATGAAGCTCATGATTGGCGCTAGTGCTTTTCACTTTGGGCCACCTGCGAGGTGAGTCCCGTCAGACTCCAGTGGCTAAGTCTCACTTTTTCCTTCCACAGTGTCTGACCTCGCTCCCTCCTCCTCTGCCGCCATGTCTTGGCTGCTGTCCTGTTTTTCTGTTCCTTTATCTTCAACTCCTTCCTCCTCTTCTTCGTCCTCAGGGTGAGCCGCCTCTGTGAGGCTTTTCATCACCTCGCCGGCGCTCTCCTCCTCGGCCTTGAGCACGCTGCACAGCTCCATGTCGTGGATCTCCACGTCGAATGGGGCGGCGGGGGGCACAGCGGGGGGAGACTTGCAGCCGGTACAGCCCTGAAAACACAGAGAGAAGCGACTTCCTGTATTTTCTGCCACAAAACAGATCGTACATCGCACGTTGACATGGTACAGGGTGGATCTGTTGTACTCACGGAGATGTTGATGGCTCGCGGCACGCGTCCGGTGCGGATCCAGGGATGGACCTGGCTCAGCTCCCTCTTCTGCTCCTCTGTGAAGCGTGGCTGGTGTTTCTGCATGTTCCTCAAGGACTCACGATCCTCTCGCAGAACCGTCTCCAAGTCCCTGTTGACGAAGACAAATAAAGTGGACAAGTATTAAGCTGCTGCCTTTCTGGACTAACAGCTGCTTGTATTTCTCTACAGTATGACTAGATCGGTCCCACTTATACTTCACGTCTTAAGAAACAAAACAATCCTCACTTTTTCTAAACCAGTTTGTCATCTGAGAGCTGAATGAGTGAATCAAAGTTGTGTATGTCATTTTGCCCAGTGCTGTACCTGACAGGCAGCTGATAGGTCATCATGACCTTGTCGTCTGTGTTGGCCATCAGCAGCCAGATGGGGTCCTGCAGCACACACTTGATGAACTGCTCCTCTCCACCGTCTCCTCCTGCGCTGCTGCTGCCCCCTGCTGGCTGTTTGCGGGAATGGTCATTCTCCGAGGAGTCGATGCTGCCGAAGTACTTGCTGGTGTGGCTGCCCTGGCTGCTGACTAGATGGGAAAAAACAAAGTTTAGAAGAGTTTTCAGTCTGTACTTGAGAATTAAAGACCATCACAGTGTTGATTAGAGACAATCTCAATCAAAACATTTTTTTTTTTTTACTGCAACTTTTAGAGTTCATCTGATTTATTTCATCTGGCATCATCTCACTTTACTAATAACAGTCATATCACGATCAACTAAATTAAATGTCAGAGTGCCCCAGAACTCTGTGTCCCTGATAGAAACCATTAAACTAAAAAGAATTTCATCAACAGCCGAGAACAAGATGTTTTTTTTAAATGGCACTAATGATTTAAATCTACTGACTGGTGCCGCTGGTGCCAGAGGAGCTGCAGCCGTTGGAACCGGAGCCCGAACCCGAGGATCTTGTTCCCGAAGACCCTGAACCAGAGGCAGCTGATCCGGTGCCTGAGCGCGAGTCTTCTTGGAGCAGCAAGTCCAGCAGGTCGCTGGAGGTGGACATGGCATCGTTGTTGGACTCATTAGCTTCACCCTAATGGGGAAAACATTAATGTTAATTTTTTTTTTTAAGTCTTTTGTGAGCAATTGCTACATTTTTAGGTCAGACATCCTATCCTGAACACTTACATTCTCATTTTCCTTGGAGGTGTCATCTGAGCTCCTCTGATTGGTGGAACTTTGCCCCCTGGCTGCCCCACCCTGCACCGAAGGCGATGCCTGCTGAGATGCTGCTAGTGCCGTGGCGACCTCTAACCGGTTGCTCGGCGACTCTTCCAGCTGAAGCAAGTTGAGAGGGGAGGAGCATCGGGATTGGAAGAGGGGTGACTCCGCGCCTTCGCGATCAGCTGGCGTCTGAGTGTAAGACTGTGGCGTGCTGCTGCGAGACAGGGCACATGTGCCTGGTGTGGGCATGGGGTTGGAAACTGTAATGGGGACAGCGGCTGTGGGGACAGCGGCTGTGGGGACAGCGGCTGTGGGGACCCCTTGGTAACCGAAGTTGGGATTGTAAAATGGTCCAGGGGTGGAGCCTGGCTGACACATGGGCACTCCCATCTGCGGGAACATGTAGTTGGGCAGAACGAAGGCCATCATGGGAGGAACCATCTGGGTGGGGGGGAAACGTGATGGATCTGGGACGGGTAAGGGCTGAGTAAGAGGTGGGTAGATGGGGTAGATTGGAAGCATACCAGGGGGAAAAGCAGCGGGTGGCATGCTAGCCTGGGAACCTACAGAAGGCCAGGAGGATGAGGTTGTTGGAGGGCCGAGAGGCATGTTGAGGGGCATGGGAGCAG